AACCGCGCTTTTGTGGAACGCGCTTTTGACGGGTCACGCTTAGATCTGGCCCATGGGGTTGCCCTAGAAAAAGCAAAGGACTGGCTCGTGGTGCTTCTGCCAGCAAAAATGGGCTCCCAAGCTCCATTTTCGGCTGCCACGCCCTCCTGCAACATCTGCCAGTGCTCCGTTTTCACTGGCAGAGGATTGCAGGAGGCCATGGCAACTGAAAATGGAGCTCAAAAGCCTGTTTTCGCTGGCAAAACACTCAGGCCACCACAGGCACCCTCAACAGGAGTGACTTTGAACTAGCCACACACACCCTGCCCCTTCCAACCCGGTCCCCTAAGCTCAAACACAACCCTGATGCGGCCCTCAATGAAACCGAGTTGGACACTCCTGGTCTAGAAATATATAATTATCAATGGTATTAAAACCTGCTTAAAAATCAAGATGATTTTTACCGTCCTTCTTGCTTGTCTCGCTTGAGCTTGAATCCAGGAGTTTCATTGATATAAGAAGTTGGGCTTTTTGGACTTATAATCCTTAAAGGATACTAGAATACACATGGAGCTGGATAGCATTGTCTCATTATTGATCCGCCTATTGTTTAAAATTAGTATTTTTATATTTTATTGTTCCCTGCCTAGTTATATACTGGATTGCAGAAAGAATGCCATTCAGTAGCACAAGGCCATAAATAATCAATAGGAAAATTTCTAATACAATTAAATAAATCTGCATGCAGTGTCAAAAAAGATATTGAACATAAAACAAATCAACATGTTTTTAATATTATAACCTGATATAGAAAATTTTACTGCACTATCAATATATAGCACATGATTAATGTACCTTGGATAATTACATTTAATCAAGGCATACTTCAGTCGTTTGGAAAGCGAATGTAATATCAGCAAATGTTACCTGGTAGAGGAGTATTATAAGATGGAATATTAAAAACTCTTAAAAGTTTTTAATGAGGATGCATCTTAGAACTTATTACCTTTCAGGCAGTGGTAACGTTTGCTTTGCTTGAATGGCTTTGATTAATTCATCGAAATATTCCGGCTTCATAATTGGTCGACCACAAATCAATGCACATATTGTCTACAACAAAAGTGGGAAATTGTAATAATAATAATTCATAGTGATACAACACATGCACTCTCTCTTAATTCAGTTCCTCAGCCAAGTACAAACCATTCTGCTTCTAAGCTTATTCATTTATTATATTCCAAACTGAGATTCCCTTACAAAAGGAACAGAAGTCCTATAATAAAATTCTATAATCACTGTACAACAATTTGCAGTGTTTTATTATCTTAATAAAGTATCTTACATCAATGTCATAACTTCAAACAGTTGCTAAACTAGGCTGTTGCTTAAACAAGGGCTACCTATCTTTTCAGTTGTCACTATTAAATATGTGGGTTTTCTGGAAAAAATTGAATTGGAAATTTTCCCAAAAAAATCTGGAAAATATTTTAATGCAAACAAGCATGATTCGAATTAGAATATTTATTTATTTATTTATTTGTTTGTTTGTTTATTTATTTATTTATTTATAAAATTTATATGCCGCTCAATCCCGAAGGACTCCCCGCGGCTTACAAAAAAGAGAAAGAAAGAAAGAAAGAAAAAAAAACGGTTTAAAATCGCAACACCACATACATTCATTGTAATCGGGGCTGGACCTCAACAGTGAGGTCAACAGCCCCAGGCCTGCCGGAACAGCCAGGTTTTTACAGCTTTCCTGAATATACATACATAGTTCTTGGGCTATGTCCCTAATTGATTAAAATTTATTAGTTGAAATTAATTAGTTGAAAATGCTGACAACCCCCCCTCCCCGAAACTTATATGCCAGCAACTCTATTAACTATCTCTTCAACTTCTACATACATATGAATCACTCATCTCCTTATAACCTGTATATTTCTCTTGGCTGATCAAATATAAACTGACCTCTACAATTTCTTCATTGAAATGGTTTATATTAAGTTAATTATATTTTTGACATTGAAATGTCAATACATCCTACTATTATTCACCCAGAGAAATAATTTATTAAACAAGGAAGAATGACAGCTGTACCATAAATATTATATTCCTTTTCTTTTCCTTGCTGTATTATTAGCCAGCTAAATATACACAGATTTGTTGGGTGTGACATGGGTGGCAAATTATAAATTTCATAAACAAACAAACAAATGCATTATTAGGCATCCAAGTGTACATTCCTATGCACAGATTTACATATGGGATTTACTTCCTAAAAAATCTTGTGTAAGAGTGCAAATAAAACATTTTCCACATCTACTCTTTCAGTGCCCATTGCAGGGATGCCTCCATTTAGTTGCGCATCACTCACCTTCACAGTAACTTTCACTAGAACCATAACAAGATGGGTACATTCTTCGTTCCACTCATTTACTACATGGCCACCCAACTGAAGAATATTTTTATTTAAAATATTTTTCTGTGAAACATCTAAGCATGAAGAACACACTACCAGTGGTTCATATTCAACTCTGCAAAATACAACAAAACAGAATGTGATTATAAATAATGCCAAACAGCTCACCATATGTTAACACAGTAGTGGTAGTGATAGGACCTAAAGAAGTTGACCCTGTTTGATATGGTTGGACAAGAAGATGAAACAAGGAGAAGGGGTCCGGATCCAGAGTCAGGTATGGCCTTAAAGGGGACAATCAATAGCTTAAATAGAACACTGTTCAAGTGACAACCAATGCAGCTCTCAAAGCCGTGGAGTTAAGCTAAGAATATAAAGATTCATCCATCACAGCCTAGGTTGATACATGCTATATAACTGTAGTTTCTGAATGCTTTTCGGGGCAGCCACATGTACAAGTCACAATGATTAAAACAGGAATTGACTAGGGTGCAAGCAACTGTGAGAAGAACTGTCTCTCATTCCAAGAATGGTGCAATTGGCAAGCAATACATAGCTGCAAATACCGTCTTAGTCACACCTTTTAAAGCAGTGATTCCAACAAACTCCTAAATTGTTGACCATTTCTGAATAAGGGAATAGAAACCATTCAGAATCAAACATGGAACTGTTAAGTCCACGAACCTAAAGTCACTCTACCTCTGAAGGATTCAGTTGTAATACACCCCTTCTCAATCAAACCCTGACATTCTCTAAGCAGTGATCCAGCACTTCAAGTACATTAGCTGTTGGGCTCTGGGGTATAGCTTCAAATCCCACTTTGTGCTGGCAAATGATCTCCCCTAATATTAAAAAGAAGTAGATTGAAGATAGAAGCATTTACAAGGTAGATGCTTCAGGACAGATTTCTCCTCCCTCAATACAAGCTGAAGTCACATCTTCAGAAAGGAGGAAAATCACTATTAGACAGTGCCAACCACTCCAATCCTAGTAGAAGGCTACTAGGATCAATAGTATTGAAATCTGCTGAGAGATCAAGAAGGATCAACAGGCTGCACTCTCCCCACACTGGTCTCTCCATAACTCATCCTCAACAGTGACCAATATCATGTGTGTATCCCAGCTTGAACCCTGGTTGCCACTGAGACTCATTTCCTACTACAGTTCTAACACTTATTTAGCAATAAGATCTACTAAATCTATAGATATGCTTGTACTGTAAGTTAACCTATGTAGGATTACCACTTTATATCTCATTTGAAAGAATAGGAATACTATTGTTTTTATCAACAAATTTAAGTCCTCTATAAGCTTCATAGTTATGAACATCATTTTATGTTATACATTTAATTAACCCATAACTATAATCTATCCTGTGTGAAATACACAGCAAACTCATAGATTTCCCCTTAACTGTTTCAAGGTTAGAACAAATCTATCATACCTGTATTTGCTTTCCGAGACTCCAAAAGTGATTCTGTCACCAGTATTTAATGTTATGGTATTACCCTTTTGTAGATTTTCTCCATTAACAAACGTACCATATTTTGAAGTGTCTTTTAAAGTTAATTCAGGAAATGAAGAAAATTGACTCTGAAAATACAAGAAAGTTCATAGTGTTGAAGGTTTCAAAGATAGCAAGCCTATTCATTATACTAGCTATACACCTCCTGTTTTTTTAAAAAATCATAACGTCATTAAAACATCAAACTACACATTAATGTGGTTTGTTTTTATTGGTTTTCATACAAGTGCCAGTTTGGGGTAGTGATTAAAGGAATCAGGCTAAAAACTGGGATAATGACTTCAAATTCTGCCACCTTGCCAACAAAACTGCAGGCAGTCTGTATTGCTTAAATTGATTGTTTGGTATAGTTATGATACCGGTAGTCCTTAACTGATGACCATAACTGAGCCCAAAATTTATGTTCCTAACAAACCCACATTTGCTAAGTGAGTTTGGTCCCAATTTATGACCATTCATGTTACAGTTAAGTGAATCATTGCGGTTGTTAAATTAGTAAGATGATTGTTAAGTGAATTTAGTTTCCCCATTGACTTTGCTTGTCAGAAAGTCACAACAGCTGATCACATGACCCCCAGACACTGCAACTGTCATAAATATGAACCGCTAAGCATCTGAATTTTGATCACATAACCACGAGAATGCTGCAATGGTCGTACGCAGTGGTGGGTTCCGGATCCCGTTGCAACCAGTACGGTTGCAACAGGGTCTGGCGTCCTCCACATGAACTCCTCCACTGGCGTTCCCCACATGAATGCCTGCGTATGTGTCTTACCGACCAGCGACACCTCTGCAAGCCTCTGTGATGCTCCAGCTGCTCGGCAGAGCATCTCGCAGGCGCTGCATGTGCCATACGCGTGCGCATGTGCCAAAGGGTTTAAAGACAGGTAAGGAGTGCAGGCGGGCGAGCACCATAGCGGAACGGTATCCGGTGCTCCGGGCAGGCTCCGGTATGCCCGTACCATACGTATAACCACTGGTTATACGTATGAAAAACTGTTAAAATCACTTGGTTGAACCTTGAACTGCCATTAAAAAAACTGTTGTTGAGGACTACCTGTATTTGCCAGGATATTAAGTAATGGCCTGAAATGGCCATTTGTTTTGACCAACCAGTTCAGAAGTAATAAGAGGCTATAATTGATTGAAAAATACTTCTAATCATAAGCCAAAGTGAATGCCCAGTTAAAAGAGTTTTATATGAAGATATTGCAGCAAAAAACTTTTCTAAGCAATGCAGCTTGACTCAAGAGGTATAATGAATCATATTCATCTGCAACAAGCTATCAGAATATTGTTATCTAAATGATATATTGTTATTGTTATCTAAGAGACATAAATGATGTAATTTTTGTCAGTGGTTTCAGATTCAAATTACATAATTTGTGTATTTTCTATAATGCCATCAGGATGCATTTGATATTATTTGTACTAAGTCAACAAATGTTAAATTTTTTAAAAAACATGCTTTTATATAGTGGATAATTGCCCAGGAGAGTTGGCAGAAAATTTAGGAATGTGATACTTACAAGATTCACTTGGGGATGATTAACTGAAAGGACTGCATGACTTCGGCTGATTGATGGATCATTTTGAATTAAAATTCCACAATTCTTTCGTCCAACAACATACTCAACACCAACTAGAAGTCGATACAATGGTCCTGAAATTAAAGAAAAATGTTAGTTTCTGAATGGCCATAAACAACAAAAGCATTTATTGTTAAGAATGTATAGTGCGAAATTACTAAAAGACTGAAACTAAATAATTTAAAAATGCAAATTTTAGAGTGTAATAGAATATGCATATATTTATGAACTATTGTTGGATATCTCATAGAACAAGATTGTAATGAAAGGTTCAATCTTTGAAACTGATGTATCTAATCATTTTATATAATGTTTCTTATTTTCTACTATGGTGAGCCATTTTGAAGCATATAATAATAAACTGCACCTCATTAAATATATTTTAAAACATAACAACAAATGTAACATATTCATTAAAAAAATGGACATAAAGGCAGTGTAGGAAACATCTCAGAGGGAAGAAACATTCCAGAACACAGGTGTAAATATGGAAGGTATCCCTGCAAGCAGCTGCCAGGTAGCATTCACTGGGGCTGCCCTTGAAGAGCATCCGGCGACTTCAGCTAGTCCAGAATGCGGCCGCGCGAGTGATCGTGGGTGCACCTCGGGTCACCCACATAACACCTATCCTCCGCGAGCTGCACTGGCTACCTGTNACCTAACCCTTTTTGGATTTTTCCATCCATTTGTTGACTCAGCCTTCCATCCTTCCGAGGTGGGTGAAATGAGGACCCAGACTGTGGGGGCAATTTGCTGACTCAATTTGCTAAAAATCTGTAAACCGCTTAGAGAGGGCTGAAATCCCTATGAAGCGGTATATAAGTCTAATAAATAAATAAATAAATAAATATTGTATGAAATACCCTCGTTATCCCGACTTTACAATCATCCAAAACTGTTGTCAAGTTAGTTCCCTTGTCCATATTATTATTAAAATAATCTTGGAATCTTGTTTACAATCTTTAACAAACTGGGGTCTTTGGAAAACTAGACTCATTTAATCTCCATTTAAAAGACTGGGATCCAAATCTAAGGTGAGTTATGATCAGAAAGAGATTTTGGAAGAATATTAACTATAGTTGTTTAGTAGAGCAAATGTTTTCTACTCCATATCATATCAATTCTAGAAAAAGGTTTATGTCTCTCTGAAATGAAAGTGTAATCTTACACCAGTCTATTTTTACATCTCAATACATCAATCAAACATAAAATATTAGTGAGGTCAAAAAAAAGTTTGAAGCAGCTTCCTTTGTGTTTCTTTAATTCTTTAATCATCTGATCTGCCCAACTGTGGGATTATTACCCCATTCTAATCCCAAAATATTTTTCAATACTGAAAAAAATAGGAGAGTAACTGTTCAGACAAGTGTTTAAAAAACATAGCTTTTTCTTTTTCCACCACCTTCCATCATGGCGTCCTGATCAGCTGGGCTTTCTTTTATCCTGACAATGGTTGTTTTTGCTGCTAGAAGCTGGCTTCTGTAGCAGAACGCTCCTGGATTTGAAAGGAAGGGAAAGAAAATTAAGCATCTTGGAATCATCCCGGAAGCTCCTTGGATGGTTGTGATTAGCCAGGGAGGGAAACTCTAGTGTTTGACTACATTTTGATAAGTTCAGCCAGAGGAGACAAGTTATCAATCTTTTTCATCCAGCCTTTGTTCCAAAGGATGCCTTTGCTTTTAACTCCACACTTTGTAAAGCGTTTTTTTTTTATGTTATACAATACCTCCAAAGAAAGTTAATAATTTGAATAAGTTCAAATTACTAGTTAGTAACAGAATTAAAACAATCTAAGAAGATGTTCCAATTACAAGGTAATGCAAAAATACTTCTTCCTGATAGTTCTTTTAAAACAAGGTAACCTTCCCTTTCATTTGGTTATTTTTACCTTTAAGAATTAATGTTAGACTAAATTCAGTACCCAAATTATAGGATTTTTTGGAAAGATACAGATCAGAACTGCACAATTTCTCAAAAGATAATAATCTATTACCATGACAATTGAGTCTTAAAGAAAAAGATAACAAATTTGAAGCTGACCAGGGTCAGGCTGTGGAGATGGGAGCCATAGCTGGCATTCCTGAAACTTCTTCATAATGCATGGATTGTAAGATTTTAACATGAAATGTTAATGTGACAAACAACCCACAAAAAGACAAAAAATCTATTTTAGTATCTTAAAAAATTAAATAAAGACATGATATATTTGCAACAAACTCATATTCACGAGACTGATAAAAAGTACCTCATAAACAAAACTTTAGGGTTTGTAATATATCTCTACCAATTGTAAGAAGAAAATCAATAGATAATTTGTATATAAACCCCAATTACTACCACATTTATTGTTTGCTTATGATCAAGGTAGATATGTAATTGTGCAAATTGAACTACAGGGAATAAAATTTATTGTAGTGGGTTTATATATCGCAGCCTACATTTTAAATAGGGATTATTCTTCAATAGTCAGTAAAATGTTTTTGAGTTTTATCTTCCCCATCCATTCTCGGTCAAAATTAAGGGTAGTGTTTAGTTCTGATGGTGTGGCAATATAACCTGAAGCTGATATCCATGCTGTGTAAGCATTTATATCTCTGATAATGATTATGTTGTGTTTTGGGACCCGAAAGTCTATTTAACAGCTGTAGAAAAATATGATTTCATGTATGGATGTATAAAACAGAATTGTCAAGTGAGGCATCACAGTACAACCTGAGTGCTGGTCTCTCCAGTTACTTTCATAATATAGTTCACTTTATTTCTCCAATAATCTTGGTTTACTCTTTCAACAAAATAAAGGTTGTAATTCTTTTGATTCTGTTCATTTAACATATTAAAATAATTCATTCAAATGGCAGATGATTAAATCTGTTTCATGGACTTTTGGCAAATATAGCTGTATCTTGACTAAATTATCTGATTCTGCAGATAATGGTGCTACCCAGCAATGAATAACCATTAATGTTCCCGAAATCTGTACTATTATTTTAGCCTTATTCATGCTGAAATCTTTGTTGATATCTTTTTACAGAAGGTACAAAATGACTGTGTATATCCCTTCCCTACTTAGGTAGATATACATAGTAAATTTTAGTGTCCTATGGTCTGGGCCTCCTACTCCTTTAGTTATAAATGACCAAGAGGCTTATTTGGAGATAGGAAACTGTTCTAACTGTCTGATGATCCTGTCGTTTTTTCCTAACAAAGGAACCTGAATTGCAAAACAACACTGTGAGCTCAAAAAAAGGCAAAGCTTCTTTAAAGAATGATGAAGCATCATTTCCACTTCAGAGCTAAATAGCTATCCTGCGTAAATATCTAGATTCATAATATTGTTTAAAGATCTTTAAAACTTCTTAAGAATTAGATTTGGAACTGCGTGTATGTGTTAAATATAATTTGGCCTTTAGCCATTTTAATAGCAACTATTTGATTCAATGACACATAACAGATACATTAAAATTAATTGGACCTGAACTGGTGATGACCAATTTTGGTGTGATTAAAGCTGAAACTAAGAGAATGAAAAAATGATTTAATATTTATTTCAAAATTAAGGGAAAAAAATAAATGAATTGACAATTGGAGGCCAGCATTTATTATTTGGTAGAAATAGTGATTATTAAGTGTATTAATGGTATATGGTAACTGAAGAACATGAAGAAAAGAACAAGTTCTGGTAAAAGAGCTATTCTCAGCTTCCTCCAAAAATTTCATGGCAGGACAAATGCCTTTCTTCATTTTATACCCATTATATATAATTCTTACTAGGTTGCCCACCGTGAAGTTCTGAAGCATATGAGTCATGGTGGTGAAGTGGTTAAAATGCAGTACTGCAGGCTACTTCTGCTGACTGCTGGCTGACTGCAATTTGACAGTTCGAATCTCACAAGGCTCAAGGTTGACTCAGCCTTCCATCCTTCCAAGGTCGGTAAAATGAGGACCCAGATTGTTGGGAGCAATATGCTGACTCTGTAAATCGCTTGGAGAGAGCTATTAAGCACTATGAAGTGGTATATGTCTAAATGCTATTGTTATTGCCATATAGTTCCTATATGCCATCTATAAAAGAACTATAAGACTATCCCATTCTAGAAGCAATATCTCATTAAAATAGGAACAGGGTCTTAATATCAGAGCCTAAATTGTGGTTTTGTTATAATGGTAGTGGTACAAAGCATCTTCCAGAAATATGTGGAATATGTAAACAAACATTCAGATTAAGGATCACCAATTTAGGAATGGAATCTTCTGCAGAGCATCCTTGTCCCCTGGATGAACTTCCCCTGGAGTATAAGATTTCAGGGCAGTTTATATTGTCAGAATAATATCATCTAAACAGCAAACAATGAAAGGAGATTGTTTTGGTACATTTTATTGATTTCAGAAGCATTGGATCAATTATGAACTGCAATTTTATATTGCTGAGCAGTTAGTTGAGTTATTGTGTGAATCCAGTTTTATTTTTTATAAAGCACTATACTCTTTTGTAAACCAATACTGATTTATTTACTAAGTTAAGCAACTCATGCCTTAAAATAATGAGTGGGCAACGAGTGGCCGGAAGGGGCGACTGAGTGGCCGGGAGGAGTGAGCGGGCAGGCATGAGCGGGTTCAGCGAATTGATTCAAATAGTCCCTACCAGTTTCTCTGGTTGAATTTCACCCCTGCTTTACTTATAAATGCTTTTATAAGTATCATGGCTACATCAAGACATGTAAAGCAGAATGCTTGAAAACATTTATATACATTATCACTTAATATTGACAGTAGCAGTTGCCTTGGTGCGATGTCTACAATTGAAAAATACTTCTAGGTTAAAATGGTCCTTCTTTTTTTCTTTTTTCAGCAATTTACCCATGGAACAAATGTACTATATCAAACGAAGAGTGGTCAAGGCACCTTCTTTTCACCACTTCAGAAAGTGATGCTGCCACCAGATGCTTTTCATGGGAAAGTGGCCTTTATCACAGGCGGTGGTACGGGCATTGGAAAAGGGATGACAAATGCGCTGTCAAATCTGGGAGCAGAATGTGTTATAGCAAGCCGGTAAAAACAAAACTTATTATATCTCCATGTTCTCTTTACTTCCCATTCATCCTACTTGAATGATAAATTGTTCCTTGCTGGATAAACTCCTGTTTGTTTTGTTTAATGTTGTGTACTGGATGAGGCACAACAGTGATAGACTTTTTGCCTTTTCATTTTCTGGGGAAATCCATAAATTATCAGAGAACCGAAGGTAGTCTCTTGTAGACCCTAAGTCCCTTTGGTACATGAATCTTTTATGAATTAGCACAGAGTAACCATTATATTGTGGGACACAGTGGCACAGTGGCTAAGACGCTGAGCTTGTCAGTCAGAAAGGTCAGCAGTTCGGCAGTCAAATCTCTACTCCCGCTTAACAGAGTGAGCTCCCATTAATTGTCCCAGCTTCTGCAACCTAGTAATTCGAAAGCATGTAAAAATGCAAGTAGAAAAATAGGGACCACTTTGGTGGGAAGATAACAGCATTCCGTGTGCCTTCGGCATTTAGTCATGCCAGTCATATGACCACAGAAGCATCTTTGGACAGCGCTAGCTCTTCGGCCTTGAAACAGACCACCCCCTAGAGTCGGAAACAACTAGCACATATGTGTAAGGGGAACCTTCACCTTACCTTTTAACCATTATATAAGGAACAATATGAAGAATCTGTAACACTGTTTTCTAACGTATATAACACTATATACCAGGGGTGTCAACCTTTTTATACCTACCGCCCACTTTTGTATCTCTGTTAGTAAAATTTTCTAACTGCCCACCGGTTCCATAGTAATGGGGATTTATAAAGTAGGGAAGTAACTTTATAAAATTTATAAAGCAGAGTTACAGCAAACCCCTACCNCTAGACTCTACTTAAAAACATCCAATGATGCACCACCCACGATTTCTGGAGGTCAGCTGTTAATTGTCCTCACTGTTAATAAGTTTCTCCTTAATTCCAGGCTGCTTCTCTTTTTGATTAGTTTCCAACCATTGTTTCTTGTCCTGCCCTCTGGTGCTTGGAGAATAATTTGACAGCAGGAAAAGCAGCAGGGTCACCAAGCCGGAAGAAGTTCACATATGAAAACACGCCCTTTCCCTTCTCTAGACTCATACGATCATCTGACCCGCAAAAGTCTGACCATTAAATGCTCTCCAAAGCACTCACCACTCTCTCTCTCTTGTCCTGCCACGCGAGGATGATCCAGAGTGTTGCAGCCCTACTTTCCCCTCCCCTCCCCTCCCCCTCCCAATTCGCTTCAGTTTTTGCTTACCTCCTCCGGTCTCGTCGGCCGGGCACAGTTTCCACATTTTACTAACCCTAGAGAAGAATCAAGGGTGCCGCTCCTCCGAGTCATGGAAAGGCCGCCCCAGGTCCTCAGCCCAGGAGGCAGAAAAGAAGAATGCGCCTGCGCGCAGCTCACCTCCTGGTTGGAAAAACCCGGGAAGAGCGATCAGCGCCATCTACGGGCAGCGAGAGGAAAAGGTTTCTTCCTTTTCCTGGGAAGAAAGGCAAATCAATGAAAAAGTAAACTTCTACAACGATGTTCCTTTGTAGCAGAAGTCCCCAAATTTGATAACTTTAAGATTTGTGGAATTACAGAACTCGTAGAATTCTGGTGGTGGTGGTTGTTAGAGAGAAGCAACTTAGAACTAAGAGAAATTTTCAGACAGTTAGAATAATTAATCAGTGGAACAACTTGCCTCCATAACTTGTGAATGCTCCAACACTGGACGTTTTTAAGAAGAACCATTTGTCTGAAGGGTTTCTTTCCTAAACAGGAGGTTGGAGTAGAAGACCTCCAAGGTCCCTTCCAACTCTTATTCTGTATTTTATGTTTATTATTTTTATGTTTATTTATTTTGTGGTTAGTTTATTCCGGTGTGGGCTTTTTGTATTCGTTTTTTTTATAAAAAAAATACTTTAACAATTGTAAGCCGGCCTTTATCTCAGTGCTGAGAAGACGAATTGCGCGTGAAGTTTGCAAAATTGCGCTCGACGTGACGATAAAAACTGCACTGAACTAAAAGTTAAGCGAAGTATTAAATTCTAAAGGAGCAAGTTTGCCTTTGGCTTGCTGGGCGTGGCTTGCTGGTCTCCGCAAAGGATGAGCGGGGAAGGGTGGGGCTTCCTGCCAAGCCCCGCCCCTTTGCCTCATCCCCGCGGTCTATTAGACGGCGGAGTGGTAGGAGGCGTTTCCACTGGAGAGGGAAAGATGGCGATGGGGGTGTTCGCTCGGTGCGGCTCGCAGACTTTATTTCCTCCGCGGCTTTATTCGGCGGCTGTGCGGGTGAGAAGCTCAAAACCTCTTCTTCCCTTTCAGCTCTCTCTTCAGGGAGGCGGCGATTTTACAATTGCCCTATCTAGTGAGTCCCGAAACGGCGTCCTGAGCGTTCATTTTGCCCCCCAAAAAGAGACGCCTGGAAGTGCAGGGCGGAGAAGAGCAGCGAAAGATAACGCCGTTTCTTCTTCATAATGAAGAAGTTAGGTTTGTCCCCCCCCCAAAAAAAACCCCTCTTGCTATTCACTAGTAATGAGTAACACCCCCCTCCCGAAACTATTACTATTAAGTAGTTATCGTTAAACCCAAAAGTTTAATGCAATATCCAGTTCGACCTGTGTATAGACTTTTAGCCACTCTGTTAAGACGGAAAGTTACCCAACGTTTACCATGGTACCAACTTTATATGGAGTATGTGGTCCATATAGACACCATTATAATATCTATCCCATTGCAATTCTATGGCTCCATACTATAGTGATTTTATTATGGCTTTATCTTAATTTAGTATATTACATCCTATGTTGTATGTATATATGTGTATGTGTGTGTATATATTATATATATGAATAGGAGTATAAATAGGAGTCTTGCCTCATGTTGTTGGAAGGCAAGATTAGGCAGGCTTTTCTTTACTATAGATTGCCTAAAATGCTGTGGTTGAGTTGTGCACAGAATTAAGTTTGAATGAAGCACTGAATCATTCTCTTGTAAGGCCAATGCTTAAGCTTTTAGTAATGTTTCTTACTAATAACAAATTCTTAGCGTTTGGTGGATTATTGAAAGGTTTAAACTTTCGCTGGGCACCAGTTGAAAACTATTAACTGCTGTTGCTCAAGTTAGCTCCTGCTAGGATTCATCTCTTTTCTATCACAGGTAAAACTTTTGTAACTTTTACCATGTTTTAAAACTTGCTGATAACCTTTAACCTAGAGAATAAAGTGTTCTTGTTATCTCCATAGCAGTCTAGAATCTCCCCTCCCCCCATTGACTCCATTTCTCATACAGGTTTTTTTTATTTGCAACTTTATAATCTGTTTTGTCATTCTACTATTCATGTTTATGTTGCACTTAAGTTGTACAGTAATCAATAAATACAGGTATGGTACTATCTAATTCCTTTTGATTACAGCAGTTCTAATAAATCAAATAGTAATACATGTGTTATGTTTATGAATCACTTAGAAAGAGGGGAAACTATTCTGTGGAGATGTTTTACTGTGAACTTTGTCCTAAATGCAGCTCAAATTATGAGTAATGCTATTTCCCAACCAAAAGAAGCAGCTTGCTAATAACCTGAAGTTCTTGTGTATAGTGTGGTTATTTAACACATGGATGATTTGTCTCATTTTTAGATGAACTATAATTTATTTGTAAGGATAATTCACGCACCATAATCCTCTCTCAACATCAATGATAGTTTTAATCTACCTTTAACCATTTTTTTCAATTTCATGATTTCAGGAAGAGCAGCATAGTTGGGCAAACATATACAATGTTTAATTTGCAGTTTGCTCAAACTATCCAATTTCTTGTACATGTGATGCCTATACCAGCCTTTTCTTTTAATACTGAAAATTTTTGAATTTTTTCCTTATTTACTTCCAAATTAACACTTAAACAGAATAGAATCTGCTATTATACTTATTTTTAATCAGAAGCTATTGCTTTTTTTAAAAAAAATATTGTTTTATCACCAAATATAAAATAAAAACAAAGAAAAGTAAAAAAGAAACAAACTAACAAACACCCGGTACTAGCAACAAAAAGAAGACACCTTTTGTGCAAAAAAAGAAAAATAACCCAAATAGAAAATACATCATTAAACATAAGAAAAAATCCATATATAAAAAATATTAATATATTGTCTTCCCTTCATACAATGGGTCTACAAATAGTTATAAATGTTTCCATTGTATTTAACAAAAAATACTATATTACATAAACAAATATCCATGATATGAAAATCTATCTAATAATCAAATTGATCCAACATCAATAGTCAACAGGTTACCCCAAAGTTAAAACTAATCTTCAAATCCCTCTGTTAACCATCTGTCATTGTATTTAACCTGTAGAAAATCCATAAACAGCTTCCAGTCTCTTATAAATTTGTCTAATCTGTTGTCTCTAATCAGAACAGTTAATTTTGCCATCTCTGCTAATTCAGTCAATCCCACGCTTCTACAGTCAATGTCTCCTTGTAAAGAAATAATGTTCCAAACTGTTTTTAAATTTGTTCACTCATAATATCAAGAAAAAAGCTTCCGGTTTCATTAATATTTGTATTTTAAATATTTTTTGCATTATCAATATTATGTTTATCCAGTATGATTTAGCATACTTCCAAGGCTATCACATATAATAGAATGTATCTAGATTTTGGTTTCATTTCCAAAACTTGTTGAAAATATGTCTATATATTTGAGCCCAGCCTATATGGGCTCAAATACCAAAGGTACATCATCTTATAAACATTTTCTTTAAACTGTAATTCAAAGTAAATTTTAAACCATTCATTCATATATTCTCGCACCGTCTAGCATTATATTGTAGCCAAAGTTTTTCTCCCATTTTACCATACAATCTTTAACAAATTCATCTTCCAGATATCTCTTAAAAACATTTTATACATTTTAACAATTAGGTGGTGATCTCCAAAACATAAGTGGCTATCCAGTTCAGATTTAATTCCTGCAAATAGAAGTTTTTATCTAGTTTAATCTTTCAAAGATTATATAATAATTACACCAATCAATAAATCCTTCACTTAGTAATTGCTCTCTTGTTTTTATCTTCTTTAAATATCAGTAGATCTGGATATGTCATTTGAATTAGAATTTTCATTAATGAGAGTCCCCCCACCAATACTTTACCTGTTTTATAACTGTAATCCAATTTTAAATTACATTTCCTCTGCTCTTCCACATTCATATTCTTAGTCAATGCTCTCATCTTATGTATTTATTTTTAAACCTGCCATTTCTTCAAATATTTTAATCTTCATAAACGTATTCAATGTTCTCTAACAGGTCTTGCAAAATCAAAACCAAGTCATCAGCAAAAGCACAAAGTTTATACTTATGTGCTTTATTTTGTAATCCTTTTACTCTGTCATCTTATCTAATGTCCCTATTTAGCAGTTCCAGTACAAGGATAAATAATAAGGGGGATAAACGATACCCCTGCCTTGTTCTTTCCGGATTTTACATGGTTTTATCAAATCTCCATCATAATCTATGCTTAATGGAGTTTATAAATGGACTTCAATCCCTGTAAAAAGCCCAATCCAAAATCCGTCTTTTTGACTACTTTAAACATAAAGTTCCAATTCAAATTATCAAAAGTTTTTTCTGCATCTAATAAGATTAGATTAGAAGATTAAAACAGGCAACCTGTTAGTCACTATGATGTTGTAAATGTTCAGTTAAAAGAAGATTACTCTCACATTGTCTTTTAATTGGCTTCTGAGTAAAAAACTACAATTGGGCTTCATCTATGTAATCTCAAAAAACCTTTTGAGGTAATGGATGTAAACAGTTTATAGTCATAGTTAAGAAGAGAAGTTGGTCTGTACTTGTTCACAGAAGTCCCTCCTTAGGTATAAAAGAAATGTAGGCATTTGTCCATGCCTACATAAAATTTCCTTAGAATAGAGTTCATTAAATCCTTCATTGAAAGAAGTACCGTATTTTTCGGATTATAAAATGCACAGGACTATAAGACACCTCTAAATTTACAGAAGAAAAACAAGAAAAAAATAATTTGGGGCATCTACCCGTCCTGTTTTTCCAAAAATGGGCACCTTTTTGGGCTCCCAAGCCCTCCGCGCATTGCATTTTTGACCTCCAAGACCCCCAGAAGCATTCTGCAGTGTTCCACATGCCCCATTTTCACCAAAAATGGGCCCATTTTTGGGCTCCCAAGCCCTCTGTGCTTTGCGTTTTTGCCCTCCCAGGTCCCCAGAGGGACACTGTAGTGCTCCACATGTCCCATTTTCGCCACAAATGCAGAGTGCTTCTGGTGGCCAGGGAGGGCTAAAATGCACTGCACAGAGGGCTGCGGGCCCCTTTTTGGTGAAGCATTTTTGCCCTGTAGAGTGGTTTTGGGCGGCCTGG